CAAAAGAGATTGTTCGAGTCAAACCAATTATCTATACCAAATAGGATATAGATGAATTTGAAGTTCAAATTTCAGAATTGCTTGACAAAGGTCTGATAGAACCAACTACCAGCCCTCACTCCAATCTAGCATTCTTGATAAGAAACCATTCTGAGATTAAATGAGGTAAACCCCGTATGGTTATTAATTACAAGAAATTAAACCAAAATCTTATTTTTTATGGCTATTTTATCCCTCGTAAATATGTTTTAATTAATTTAGCAAAAAATGCTAAATATTTTTCTAAATTTGATTGTAAATCAGGTTTTTGGCAAATCATGCTAAACGAAACCTCTAAACCTCTTACTGCTTTTAGTGCACCAGTAGGCCATTACCAATAGACTGTTATACCTTTCAGTCTATGCAACGCACCTCAAATCTTTTAGCGTTGGATGGACAGTATTTTTAACAAACATAAATAATTTTACTGTGTATATATTGATGATATTTTAATCTTTTCTAATACTTTAGATGGCATAAGAAATACTTGAATCTTATTGCTCAAGAATTTATTTTACACGGTATTATTTTAAGTCCCAAAAAGGTTAAACTTCTAAACGATGCCTAAATCGATGCCTCTGAAAGAGTTACAATGAGGCTTTAAATAGAAAAATTTTAACCTATAAATAGTAACTCTGTACAGTTATCCGTTACAGTGTATAGTAGAATTTTATCTATAGTACCGCTACAGTAACTTGCTACAGTGTATTTCGTAGTAGGTCTCTATCTTTTTCTGCTACAGTGACGTCTTATCTTCTGCTACAGTATTTTTTGTCTGCTAGTCATTGGCGTCGAATGGAGTTTTGTCTTTTTGTGTCGGTTGTTCGCTCTAGCTTATCCTAGATTAGAATATGCACAGTTTATCCTTCCATAGCATTGTTTAGGTTATGGAATTCTTCATCCAGTGTGTTAAGTGACTGGAGAGATGGAGGAGATCCTGAATGTGATTTGTTTCACATTTACCATTTTTTTTATACTGGTATAGTAGATGGTAGACATATTTTTGTCAAAAGATTTCTTGAACCACATGAAGATCTAGATATCAAAAATATACCAGAAGTAATTGAGATTTTGGATAAATTATCTAAAATGGAAGATCTTGATTATCCCACTGATCTACTATACCAGTATCAAGAAATATGGTAAATGTGAAACAAATCACATTCAAGATTTCCTCCATCTCTCCAGTCACTTAACGCACCGGATGAGGAATTCTATAACCTAAACAATGCTATGGAAGGATAAACTGTGCATATTCTAAACCAGGATAAGCCAGAACGAACAGTCGACACAAAAGGACAAAACTCCATTCGACACGAACGATTAGCAGACAGAAAATACTGTAGCAATCAACTGTAGCAATCATTATAACAGAAGATAAGACGTCACTGTAGCAGTCACTGTAGTAGAAAAAGATAAAGACCTGCTATGAAAGATACTGTAACAAGTCACTGTAGTGGTACTATAGATAAAAATTCTACTGTATACTGTAACAAACAACTGTACAGAGTTACTATTTATAGGTTAGAATTTTTTTATTTAAAGTCAGATACTGTGAACTTACTCTTCATTTTCTAAAAGAGATTGTTCGAGTCAAACCAATGATCTATACCAAGTAGAATATAGATGAATTTGAAAGTTCAAATCTCAAAATTACTTGACAAAGGTATGATAGAACCAACTACCAGCCCTCACTCCAGTCCAGCATTCTTGGTAAGAAACTATTCTGAGATTAAATGAGGTAAACCCCGTATGGTTATTAATTACAAAAAATTAAACCAAAATCTTATTTTTGATGGCTATTTTATCCCTCGTAAAGATGTTTTAATTAATTTAGCAAAAAATGCTAAATATTTTTCTAAATTTGATTGTAAATCAAGTTTTTCGCAAATCATGCTAAACGAAACCTCTAAACCTCTTACTGCTTTTAGTGCACCAACAGGCCATTACCAATGGACTGTTATGCCTTTCGATCTATGCAACGCACCTCAAATCTTTCAGCGTTGGATGGACAGTATTTTTAGCAAACATAAACAATTTTGTTGTGTATATATTGAAGATATTTTAATCTTTTCTAATACTTTAGATGGCACAGGAAATACCTGAATCTTATTGCTCAAGAATTTATTTTACACGATATTATTTTAAGTCTCAAAAAGGTTAAACTTCTAAACGATGCCTAAATTGATGCCTCTGAAAGAGTTACAATAAGGCTTTAAATAGAAAAATTCTAACTTATGAATAGTAATTTTATACAGTTATCTGTTACAGTGTACAGTAGAATTTTATCTACATGATCGTTACAGTGACTTGCTACAGTGTCTTTCGTAGTAGGTCTCTATCTTTTTCTGCTACAGTGACATCTTATCTTCTACTACAGTGACTGTTATAGTTATCCTTTTGTGTCGGTTGTTCGCTCTGGCTTATCTTGGATTAGAATATGCACAGTTTATCCTTCCATTCAGGATAATGTGGAACAAATCACATTCAGGATCTCCTCTATCTCTCCAGTCACTTAACGTACTAGATGAGGAATTTCATAACCTAAACAATGCTATGGAAGGATAAACTGTGCATATTCTAATCCAAGATAAACTAGAGCGAACAGCCGACACAAAAGGATAAAACTTCATTCGACGCCAACGACTAGCAGACAGAAAACGCTGTAGCAATCAACTGTAGCAGAAGATAAGACGTCACTGTAGCAGTCACTGTAGCAGAAAAAGATAGAGACCTACTACGAAAGACACTGTAGAGAGTTACTATTTATAGGTTAGAATTTTTCTATTTAAAGCCTCATTGTAACTTTTTCAGAGGCATCAGTTTAGGCATCGTTTATAAGTTTAACCTTTTTGGGACTTAAAATAATATCGTGTAAAATAAATTCTTGAGCAATAAGATTCAGGTGTTTCCTGTGCCATCTAAAGTATTAGAAAATATTAAAATATCATCAATATATATACAGCAAAATTGTTTATGTTTGCTGAAAATACTGTCCATCCAACGCTGAAAGATTTGAGGTGCGTTGCATAGACCGAAAGGCATAATAGTCCATTGGTAATGGCCTGCTAGTGCACTAAAAGTAGTAAGAGGTTTAGAGGTTTCGTTTAGCATGATTTGCCAAAAACCTAATTTACAATCAAATTTAGAAAAATATTTAGCATTTTTTGCTAAATTAATTAAAACATCATTACGAGGGATAAAATAGCCATCAAAAACAAGATTTTGGTTTAATTTCTTGTAATTAATAACCATACGGGGTTTACTTCGTTTAATCTCAGAAAAGTTTCTTACCAAGAATGCTAGACTGGAGTGAGGGCTGGTAGTTGGTTCTATCAGACCTTTGTTAAGCAATTCTAAAATTTGAACTTCAAATTCATCTATATCCTGTTTGGTATAGATCATTGGTTTGACTCGAACAATCTCTTTTAGAGAATAAAGAGTAAGTTCACAGTATCTGACTTTAAATAGAAAAATTCTAACCTATAAATAGTAACTCTGTACAGTTGTCCGTTATAGTATACAGTAAAATTTTATCTACAGTACCGTTACAGTGACTTGCTACAGTATCTTTCGTAGTAAGTCTCTGTCTTTTTGCTATAGTGATGTCTTATCTTCTGTTACAGTTGATTGCTCCAGTATTTTTTGTCTGTTAATCATTGGCGCCAAATGAAATTTTGTCCTTTTGTGTTAACTATTCGCTAATTCGATGTCTCTGGTGCTTACGTCTCGCAATAAAGAAATGTGGCTGATCATCCCCTTTGACTTTGTATATGGTCGACCTTCCCCACAATCTTTCTAGATCATCATCTTTCCTTCCTTTCCCCTGCTACCAGTCAAAACCTTGCTAGGCTTTTATTAAACGGTGGTATCGTGACCCCTAGCATATTTTTGAAGTTATCTTTTTTTATCTACATTCCACCTACACGACGGACCACAACAATTAACTAATCAAAATTTTGGTGGATTTCACAAGTTTCTCCATCATACCATCCCAACAACTGTATTTATTTTCTGTTTTAATCACTATCAGTTTACATAATTTTTTTATTTTTTAATATACTTCAAAAAGATAATATGATAATTCCGTTGATAAAGTTAAAATTTTCAATATAATTTTCCTTAAATCATAATCAATTATGGTAAAAGAAGACTTTTCTCACCTAACAGTATATCTTGTCAAAGAAAATGAAGTGATCATATTGTTGATTGGTTTTCAAAGACAAAATGAACAGGTCATTGACAAAATATTATAGACAACCAAGCTAGAAAAAGGGATAGTTTTGCCCTTCGTCTTTGGTGGTAGAACAGAAATTAAATTCAAAGTCAAAAAAATATGAACATGTTTGATTGTCCATGATTCGTGTATTTGTTTTAGATTTTAGAATCTTTAGATGCTGTCTAAGTTTCTGCGCAAATCCTTTACGTTTCAGGAAGAAAAAAAAAAACACTTTTATCAGGCAGTAGTGGCGAATTTAAAATTTTTGTGGAGGGCCAAATACATACGCAAATATGCAATGATTTATATGCACATTATATTATGTATATATTCTATACATAAAATTAAGAAAAAATATTATGAAAAAAAATGTTTAGTTAAAATTTATTTTTCATCGATTCACTTATCTTTGTTATTGTTTAGTTATCAATTTATAGTAATGCAAATATACAATCATTTACATACACATATTGTATTATGTATATATTTATTAATAAAATTAAGAAAAAAAATTATGAAAACAAATGTTTAGTTAAAAATCTATTTTTCATCGATTCACTTGTCTTTGCTATTATTTTGTTATTAATTTATAGTAGTGAAGACGATTTTTTAGTTACTGCTAAGTATTTTTTACAAGGCAAAAGATATAGGTATAGCTTTTCATGAAATATTGTGGGTTTATGGAAAAAAAATTACTGTAAAAAATTAGAAATGAAAAATTGATAGATTAATAAAACTTCATAAAATTTTTTACACTGCAACGTTGGCCTGGAATCTGAGCAATTGATTAGGCAGGCAATTATTTATCATCACGCAATGTCATTGGAGCCAAAGCTCAATTGGCAGGCACCAGGGAATTATTTCTAAACAAACTAAATAAAAGGAGTAAATGACGCAAAGCTGCTTAACTATTGTTCAATTCTAGCCAGGGGCCTTGACTTGATGAGATTCTTATTGTTGATGAGGAAACTCAGAAGTTGATCAACATACAAATGCTGTCTTTCCCTGTCCCCAAATATCTGCTTCATTTCCTTGGCTTTGTCCCTGTAAACTTTGCCCACTTCCTCCACCACCACCAACCTCAGTGACTCAGCCACCGATTCCCTGGTGAACTTTCCATCCTTCTCATTTCTTGGTATCACATAACCAATTTTTTTCTCCTCCAAAACTCTAGCATTTATCCCTTGATCAGCCAAGAACGTCAACAATATAAGAGCTCTCTCGAATTGAAGCGCCTCCACAACAGAGCTCCACCCACCGTGACTAAAGAACCCACCAACCGAATCATGAGCTAAAATCTTGAGTTGAGGAGCCCACCTGGTGCACACCACACCGCGCCCTTTGGTTCGCTCCTCGAACCCATATGGCAACTCGATGGACTCAGTATCCGACACCCCTCGTTGAGTCCTCAGCACCCAAAAGAATGGTAACCCAGATAGCTCTAATCCTAGAGCTATCTCTGTCACTTCTTCTTGACTTGGTTTTGCCTCGCTACCAAATGCTACATAAACCACACTCTCTGTTTCTTGCTTGTCTAGCCATTCTTTTATTGGTTTCCAGGCCTCATCGTCATCTCCTTTACTATATGCAGTCGTTGGAAGCTGACCAACGGGAATAACAGGTTTCTGGTGAAGTTCCTTTAAAAGATTCAAATACTCGGGCTCGAATTCCCGGCAGCTTCTTACAACTATTGCGTCACAGAGTTCAATAACTTTTTCAAAACGGTAGACATCCGAAGTGTGGGAACCCTCCCCCGTTATGCTATCGAAGAACTCTGTGACGCTATGGGCTAAAGGAGGTAGCCAATAAGCAGCAAAATCTAAAAGCAACCAATCTGGAGACGATGTTTCAAGAAAGTTGGCCAGGGAATCTTGAAGACCATCGAGAGCTAGTTTCAAGTAAAGGACCTTGTTGTAGGGAAGATCAGTGGTGGCCTCAGCGTCTTCAGGGAGATTTTCAACGTGAGGCAAAGGGAGTTTTATAAATTGTATTGAAGATGCTAAGTCTGGTGGGAGTTTGGGGAGACGATCGATGTTTCTTGGTGTTGAAATGAAGGAGATTTTGTGACCCTTTTGAGCTATAAGCTTCGCGAGTTCTAAGTATGGGATCATATGACCAAAGGCTAGCCACGGGAACATGGCTATGTGAAGCTTGGTGGCCTCAGCCATGGCTATGTTAAATTAGAACTTTGTTTTTCCGAAGAGAATTTGACAATCTAAAGAAAAAGTAAGGAAACCGAAAGAATCATAACTATATATAGGCAAATGCGAATCATAGCCAAAGAATAAAAAAAATCCATATTTTCATTTTTCTTTTTCTGTTTCTTTTTTTTTTTATAATTGACATCAAGGATTTAAATAGCAGTCGCAATCATGATTTCGATCGTGTAACATTTATCGCGTTTTCGGATATAACGGAAATAATTACGGTCGTTGTAATCATCATGTCGTGAATTTTTTTTTTTTGCACAAATTATTATAAAATGTAATAGTTATAATTATAATTATAAAAACTCTTATTCAATGATTTTAAAAATAATTTATGACACTATGTTTTTTATTTTCTAAAAAAATTATTCACAATTTTATTTATATTATAAAAAGCATTCATATTTGGTTTATCCATAAAATTTGTCTTGGCCAAGTTCATATTCAATATTAATTCTAGACAAATCAAATATTAACAAAACATAATACGTTAAATACCAAGCATTTAATTTAATAAAATTACAAACTTAAAAATATAATAATTTCAAATTCCATCAACTACAATTATTGATATATATTTCAAATTTTATCACATGATAGAATGACGAGGAGGATCAGATTCTCTATCTTCACTTTAAAAGTCAAGTTGACTTCATCTTCATTCCTGAGACCTTTGTTATTGATACATTTAAGGTGAAGGATATATTTGAAGATGATACATTTATGGTGGAGGTACATTATCTATGTATATCATATTAAATTATTAATCTCTTAATTTTTTTAATTATAAATCTTCAATCCCTCTAATTAGATTTTATCTAAAAAAATTTCAAAAATTAAAAGTTTTCAAACTTATATTTTAATAAAATTTTCAAACCTATATTTTTTATTTTTTAGTTTTTAATTTTAATAAGAGTAATAGATCATAAAATGCTAAATTTGTTAAGTAACTTAATTTTTTTTTATACACTAATTGATATAAATTTTTTTTATCACAAGCAACTTTTAATAATTATATAATAAACACAATCTTCAATAATTACACAAAAATAACAAGAATTAATCTAATATCAAAAGAATTGACAATAATATAAATATCAAAACAACAAAAAAAATATTAAAATTCAGATACAAAATTATAAATTAATATATAACACAATCAAAATATAATATTTAATTTTAATTATTTTTCATCTAACTTATACAAAAAAATTTATCAAAAATTTTCATTTAAAATCTCTATATATTATATTAAATTATTAATCTCTTTTTTTTAATTATAAATTTTCAAAACCACTAATTAAATATTATCTAAAAAATTTTCAAAAAGTAATTACAAAATTAAATAAAAAAAATTCAATCCCACCCTTCAAACACCCCACCACACCCAATCCCTCCCCACCCCTATCAATCCCTCTCCACCTTCCCCCCAATGCCTCACCACACCCAATCCCTCCCTACCTTTCCCCCAATCCCTCCCAACGTGCCTAATATCCCAAATTTGTTTAATTTTTTCTAGCAAATGGTAGACACTTTTAGAAACGCTAATACTATCTTCTGTTCATCTTCTTCTCCGTGCTGTCTTCCTTGGCTTTCCAGAATTTTCTTTTTATCTCTTTTTTTTTATCTCTCATTTTCTCTCGCATCCCTTTATCATTATCACTTGCTGACTTGCCTAATATCTACGGATACCTCATTCGTCTTTCAAACTCTTACAACAGATCATTTTACAAAAATTTTACAAAAAAAAGGTAATTTAGCTTTCTTTTCTTACCTTATTTGATCTTGAATGTTGATTGACAACTTGAGCCTAATTTGAATTTGAATGCTGAAAATATTGATTGAATGGTTGAAACTTGAAATAATTGATCTGTTTTCTAACTCATTTTTAAATTTATTTTGATGACAAAGATCTGAGATTGTGAGCTTTATTTTTTGCTTTGGCTTTTATTTTTACTTTTGCACGTTTATTGTTTTATTCTGTAGACTTAAAGTTTTATTTTTTTCTTGAACTATTAGATTCGTGAGTAGAAAAACAGAATAGCGTCAATAACAGTCCGTTATTACCACTATTACCCGTTATGCCGTTATTTTACGATCGTTGCTCTCTGTTTTTACTGTGAATGAATTTTTCAATCATTTTTTATCTAATAACAGTGACGGAGGGTGGCGCTACCATAATTTTACGGCTGCTGCTATTTCGCTATTAAACCGTTATTTGAATCCCTGATTGACGTTATCCATGATTGAATCCAGGCCTCTAATTCGGCAACGGATTACAATGTTGCAGTAACCCATATTTTTCGTTTGTAAAGATTTGGCCACAAATTTTAGTCAAAATATCTTGAATTTATATGATTCAAAATAGTATATGATTAACATTTCGTTTTTTTTTTAATTTTCTTTTTACTGTAATTGGAGTTTGAACCGGAAGCTTTCATCCTTAGAATTGAGAACAGTAATTTGCAGCTCATCGGTGATTAATATGTAATTTAGCAAAGCAAGTTAAAGAATATAACATTTGCTTTGTAATTAAACTTTTAATATACTTAATTAATGAATATTAATTTTGGTGAAGTTACGAGTCATCATTCACAAAATTGACGAAATTATTATACTCAAACACCCTAAAAATAATACTACATGGTTAAAGGATACAAATACTAAAGAAATTTCAAACCGTTTATTGATATTTATTTTATTATATGTAACTTAATTATCTATATGTTAGAATATAATTACATTTTATTAATTATATGTTAATAATAATAAAATAAATTTAATTAATTCAATAGTCAAAAGTCATGGTTATATGAATATAATATTAAATTCAATGATTAAATTATTTATTTTTTAATTATTTAAAAATTAAATTTGAATATAATTTCATTATTTCAAATCATGATTATATCAATATTAGCAATTTTGCAAGGGATGCTGAACGGAGGAGTTATCCAAGTGGCACTCCCCTAATTTCTGTTTTTTTTCTTTTTTATTTGCTTTTTAATATTTTTTTTTATTTGTTATTTGTTAAAAAAATCAGTATATGTTAAAAAAAAATTGACACGACTCTTTGAAATTAAAGTGAGCTATCAAATTAGCATGGACGTTCAATTGCATACCCATTCTTAACTAAAGAAAGACCTTTAATAGCGTGCATGCGATTTTGTGGGCCATCAAAATTTTGTGGGTGTATAAAGAAAGTTTTATGGTGTATCTAGAAGCCCCCCTAAATTTTCTTCCAAAAATACCCATATAGTAAATATTAATTTTATCCTTTAATAAATAATAAAAATACCTTTGATAACTTATACACTCAACCCTTTTTATATTTTATTCTTGAAAATGAATTGCGGAGAATGCACACGCATTTCTAGAAATAAATTTTTGAGAATACAATGTAATTTTCAAAAATTTATTTTTAAGAGTGTAATATAATTATCGAAAATTTATTTTCGAGAATTATTTGCATTCTCAAAAATTCATTTTTGAGATTTACATTGTATTTTTGAAAATTCATTTTTGAAAATACATAAATACATTTAATCTTAAAATAAATAACAATTAAATTTAAATTTAAATCAAATAAATAAAATAATTTTATTGGAGACAATAAAATAAAACAAATACATTTAATCTTAAAATAAATAATACAAACGTAGAAACATTGGTGTGGACATCAAATTTGTCCTAAAAAATAATAATATTATTATTATTAAATATAAAATATGAAATATAAAAAAAATACCAAATAATGCAAAATACCAAAAAAATACAAAATACCAAAAAAAAGAACAACAAAAAAAAAAAATTAGGGATGGCAATGGTGCCTTCCCCGGCACCACTGCTATCCCTCTTATCGTTATACCCCACCACTCATCCCTTACTAATACCCTGTTTATCTTACCTTACTACCAAATAATATAAAAGAAATAAAAAGGCATAAGGCTCGTGTTTGCACCCCCATGCCTAGCCTTGTGACATTCCCTTAGGTACGGGACACTGTCGGAACTTTATAAATAGAGCTTCTGATCAATCAAAAAGGGAGGAAAAAAGAAAAACAAAGGAAAGATTTTGCCAAAAATAAAATTAAAAAAATCAAATAATCCTCCTCGTATGGAAGAACTCAGCGCCGAGCTTCTTACACGAAGAAGAAAAATAAAAGTCAGTTTTAAAAAAAAGTCAAAATATAAAAAAAAATATAGTTTCACCGAAACTTCACTGGCAGATCTGAAGATTTTGGGACTCTTTTTGGTAAAAAGAAGTCAGATCTATGTTCAAGGGATCGAGAGGAGTTTGTGAGAGTTTTTTTGAATTTTTCGATACCAACGATGGCGGTCGGAGCTCGCCGTCGGTGAGGACCACAGCAGCTGACACAACGGATGCCACAGGCCTCAGGTAGGCCTAAAAAATAAATAAATAAATAAGGCATTTTTTTTTCGAAGGAGGAAAGAATGGCTAAAAAAATTTTTTTTTGCTCTTTTATATAAATCGTTAGAACCAAAATGACATCGTTTCATTAAAAGCCCAAAACAATGTCGTTTTAACCTCTGAGGATCAGCGTGTCGATCGTGACTTGACCCGAGATCCGCACACTAGATCCAACGACCCGTTTCTCCTTCAACCCCTGATCGATCCATCTGAACCAAACCAGATCGAACCAAACTGTGGTTGAACCGTTGAACCGTCAGATCGAACCGAGCCACCGATCCGATCGAACCCACATCGATCGGATCGTTGACCGATCTGATTCAGGTAAAAAATAATTTTTTTTTGAATAAAGTCTTGGTGTATGTGGTTAAATGTTTATTGGTTTTGGATAAAGTCTTATATGTAAAGATATGACTATTTTTGTAAATGACTTGTATCTTTTAGTCTCAAGGTCAAGAGAAAGTTCATATAGCTTAACCTGTCTGTAGGCATCTATTGAACTAATAGGTGCATTAGCTTTGAGCTTAAGTTTTGGGTCCTCTTTAAGCCCACTCGCAAAGCTAGAAATAAAGTATTCTTCATTTAAATTTGGGTCAAACTACAATATGTATGGCTTCAATTCTTTAAATTTCTCTTGGTAGTCTTTATTGTATTTTTCTAAACTAGCTTATTAAAATCTTCTATCACATTCGAGTAAGTCCTATCACAAAATCTGTTGCACAAATCCTAAGCAAACTCTAACCAAGTTATTGTATTCTTCTGCATAATATAACCATCAAACTAGGTTTCTGCCTTCCCTAACAAATACAATGCTCCCACTTTTATTTTTAATAGTCTGAAATAGAAAAAATAACAAAGTACTTCTGAAATTTCTTGATCTACCCTCTGAAGTTATGTCTATCAAAATTAAGCAGTTCACTCTTAGGTTTTAGGCATATGCATTCATAGCAATTCTTTGGGTTTTGAGGCATATGCATTCATAACAGTAGTTACTACCTTTAATAATTTATAGTTCTTGCACTGTTTTGTTCTATCCTGAAGAATACTACTACTAGACTCAGATTGAGTATTAGCTAACAACCCCACCTTTAGGCTCCAATTGAGCTTGCAATGTTCCCTTTGGATTCAACAATTCCATAACCTACTTCTTATTTTCATCTAGGGCCTTCTAATTCTCAACTAACATTGCCTCAATACTTTTCTTCTTACCTCCCACTATCTTGAAATAGTATCTTGTGTTGCTTCCATTTTCTCCTGCAACACTTGAACTTGATCATGAAAAACATTATATCGAGTACCTTCTGCCATGGACGTTAGGTTTCTGTGGTTTCCAAAAGTGCTTAGATCTATGTGGCTTTAATACCATTTTATGATAAAATGGATAATGATGAAAGAAAAGAGACTAGACCAAAAAAGAACAGAGTATAAGACCAGAAAAAAAAAAAAAAAGTTTAAAGAAAATTCAGTGATAATTTTCATTCATAGTCTTGAAATGATGTTTTACATGTTTATAGCTTATTCTCACTATTCCCACTATCACACGACTGTCACACAATCGTTTTACATGTCCCACTATTCCCACTATCATATAACTAATTGACAACCCAGCAAGGTCGTAATAAGGTCATTATATTTCACGTGACAACTTATCAGCTTCTTCCTATTGTGACTTCATTTCCATTCTGTTGTAAATTTCTTCATAAACCAAGTCTTTTTAACTTTCAACCCTTGCTTTTTCCTATTGTGACTTTATTTCCATTCTGCTACCAACTTCTTTTATAGATCAAGTCTTTTTACCTTTCAACCCAACTTAATCATTCCTGCAATTGAATGATAATATAACACAAAATTGATTTTTTCATCAAAAATTTTTCTCAAATCAAAATTCTTTTTACTCTTTAGCCTAACTTCATCATTCCTACAACTAAATAATAATATCACACAAGATTGATTTTTTTGACAAAAATTTTTCTCAAATCAAAATTTGTTTAAGAGTTCTTTTTTATGGGAATTAGGGCTATCAAGTTTTTTAAAAAAATTTTAATATATAATTTATTCTTAAAAAGATTTAAATTTAAATATTTAACATCACCCAAAGATTTTACATGTAACACAACTTAACAACGCGTGAAATTTATAAGAACTTTAATTATTAAAATTGAAAGACGAGATAAATAAGATTTTTAATTGTTAAAATTAAATGATGAGATCCTGCTTTGAAGAACATAGTAAATGGAGGATTTAGTCATTTTGAAATGACAGACTAACTCAAATAAAGTAAAATAAAGCCGCCGGACCAGACTAGATCACATGCAAGCCTTTAGGAATACCAAAGAAAATCCAAATTTTTGAAATAAAAGAGAAAGAAAAAGTACAAAGAGTTTTTGGCGTATACGATCAAAACACAAAAAATTTAAAGAATTTTCGGCCGACTGATCGTGAAAATGTAAATAATACATTAATACTCGCAAATTGTTCGATTCGAAAAAAATTCGAATTCAATTTAATTTTTATCGAGTCAAACTCGAACTCGAATAACTCAACTTATCAATCGAATTGAATTCAAATATTCTTATATCCAATTCAAATAATTCACGAACTTAATTAAATTTTTATATTTAAATATATTTTTATTATTTTAATTAATAAAATATTTCGAATCCGAATTCAAATTCGAACATGAATAATCAAACTCTTATCAAATATATAAATCGAATTTATTTTTACATATTAATCGAACTTAATCAAACAAATTCGAGTAACTCGAATTCGATCACGAATTGAACTCAAACTTAAAAAATAAAATTCAATCAAACTTAAATCGAATATCAAACCTCAAGTTATGAGTCGAATTCAAATTCAAATTTCTCACTATTTGACTCGATTAGATTACACCATAACCATAGATGCGTAAGGAAATTTGTTTATTATTCTCTCTGATAAGGACAAGCGAGGCGTCCAAAGGGAAATAATTAAATTTGCAACTCCCAATAACAAACCCTCTATTCAGAGGAATTCATGTCCTCTTTTCTTTATTATTATAATTAAAATAAATCATAAATATAATGTGGATGTTTCATCTGGTTATATTCAACAATTTTAAGAATGATTCTTTAAGAATAGTCGTCGACTCAAATGCATATAGAAATACCAAGATAAATCCAAAAATATCAAAGACAAAATATACAATCAAAATTTTACACTATCTGAAATCTATTTCGCTATCTTCAATCTGCAGCTTCCCTTGTACCAAATTACACATTTAAATGATATTTTTGTCCTGCTTTTGCTTCGCTTTGAATGCTATACAGCAGGCATTTACTGTTAATCCTCAAATAAGATTTTTTTTGGGCCAGCAGACTATACAATTGATTGCACAAAGCATAAATAAGATTATATTGTAATATAAGATCTGATTTTCAAACAACAAAAGAAGCAAAAATTTCATTGAAACCAGTAATATCGAAATAAGCAGGCAGAGGCATATGCTCACCGATGAATGTACTTTAAAGCTATTTATTTGAGGGCGAGGTCAGTTTATTTTCCTCAGAATCATGCTTCAAGGTGGTATCCCCACCCATCAATTCCTGAAAACCTTCAACCTTCACCGGTGGAGCTCTAACAACGCTCATGTTCCTGCATGCATATATGCGAGATGTTGAATTTCAGCATATGATCAAGTAGAAATATGTTGAATTCTCCATTGGAGTTTTTCTTACTGTGTTTGCATTTGAGGAATTTGTGGAGACATCAACTGCCTGAACTGATTGCTGGACTGAGCCTGAGCGTGCATATTTGACATTGCAGCAAGTTGCCGCTGACGGTAGTGCATTTGTGGATGTCTGGTATTGATGGGAGTAAAGACATTGCTTTCCATGGGCAACTCTGATGGGTTTTCAATCTTAACTTGCACCATAGGTCGGTCTTTATCCGTTTCCATAACATGATGAGGGGTAGATTGTTGGTGCCTACGCATTCTTTCCAACTGCTGCTGCTGCTGAAAAGTTAAATTTTGAGGATGAACCATCTGCTGCATCTGCGGATGCATTTGTCTTGTCATCTGTAGCTTCACCATCAAATTTATGGAATAAACATTGTTAAGAAGACCACAACACGCAAAGATCAAATTAAGGACACATATACACCATCAAATTAAAAGGAAAAGAACACAATACAGGAGTTAAACTAAAACCAGGAGCATCTCTCCTAATCTTTCATCCATAACCCTACTAACTAATGTGCTGCATATTGAAAGCATCTAACATAATCCCCTAAACACTAAATCAACATTAAAATCAGATAAACCCCGAAACTATAAAGACCTCAGGTGAAAGTTGTAACCATAAAAAATACAGCTTGCTAATGATAAATCCAAGTCCAATGACAAAGATGAGTACAATGAAGACATTAGAGGTGCACAGAAGGTTTTTATTTTCAGCACTGCCTTTGGGCAAGAAGTGTCCATCCAAACGATTCACCGGGAGGCAAAAAATAAAATAAAATAAAATATACATACTTGCTGGGCCATTCGAAGAGCATTTTGGTGCTGTGGCTGCAATTGTGACTGGATCCCATGCATTTGTTGCTGAGTTTGTTGCACTAAGTTCCTGGTACTATCCTTGACAAGTTCAGCTAGGGTCCCGAAGTTACTGCAATAAAAAAAGAAACATTTAGATATTACATGAAATGGATAAACCCTAATCAAAGTGGAAAATACAATATGTACAAAAAGGAGAGAGAAGTATGTATATCTGATGTTAAAAACAGAAACATCAAAAAGTTGAGAATATAAAAAATCATATAAAAAGAACATACATAGAATGATCTAATTCAAAAGGAAGAGAAAGTTTAAGAACAGTAGATGCTTTTGGCAGAAATTGTCCAAATTAGTTATCAATATTGTAGTATATTAAAAGTGAAATTATGATTCTCCAATCATGATGAAAGAATGTCCATGTACAATTACTTCAAATTTATAGTTGAAGGGGAACCCAATATCAAGGGTTGTTCCTCTTCCCCAATGTGCCAAAATAATTCAATGACAGTGCATCCACGCAACATACATTCTTCTTTAAATACTCAAGACCACTAACATCCTACTTCAGCACCCAAATAAATTTTTTAGGAAATTTAAAAACATGACAGTGAGTTAGAAGCAATGCCATAAAGTAAAGCAAATTGGATTTCAAAGTTTACCTATATCCTGATGTTTGAAGGAACATCCTAATTAGTTCAATGGCTGAACACTGTTTTCTGTAATTATCAGTAAGAACTTTTAGATTACGACCAAGTTTAGAAATGTGACAGCTGAGAAACTGAGAGAACACTTCCACTGGAGCTTCTGTGGCACCTTCAAACCCAACACCAGTCAGTAACCGTGCTATGACCTTTCGAGACATCTGTGATGCTTGTTCCTGACCCAAGAGCTTCCTGTTATTCTTCCCGCGATGAACGTTGCCACCCTGTTCCATGTTCAGGTACTCAGGCCTTATACCAAGCCTCTCAATCATAACAGGACTCCGGGATGAAACCTGCGGTAGAGTATCAAGAACTCCATATAACTCTATTGTCTTCTTATCCCACACTCTGGTTGTCAGTGGAAGGGCACTATCAGGTACACAGTTCATCATAAACATTGTTTCAGGGAAAAAGGGGATTTCATCATCAGCTGAGTTATTGCCATCTAAAACAGAATTTGATTCTAGACCAGTATTTCCATATCCCATGATCTGATCTTCTGGAAATGCCAAACATCTTCTCTTATGCTTCTCAAGAATTCTGATATATTTAGTCATCTCCTCTGGTGTACGTTTGTCAGACTCTCGGTCCCCAAGAGACAACTTATAAGGTCTGGTAAGTCTATACTTCTCAATAAATTGATTATACCAATTTTCTGGCAACTCTTCATTCCTATATCTCTGGGATAAATTATCAAATTATGATTCACCATACCTCGATCCAGCACTAAAAGAGGATTTAGACTGATTTCCAAAGAACAGGGAATAACGAGAAACTTTCCATCAAACATAGAGTAACAAAGGGAAAAAACCATTTGGATGTAAAAAGCAAACACAATTTCTCAAAGGTGAAAAATTTTTTAAAATTAACTTTCGTGGTCAAGAAAATGCATGATTTCACTTTTAGACGAAATAATTATATTCAAAGAGATATTTCATTTTCACCATTTACTCATTTTTGTCAAAGGAAACTATCACATCCACACAGATCCTCTGAAAGTGAAGTTTAGGATATTGTAAAAAATAAAAAATAAATTTAAAAAAAAAAACATGTGATAGCTTCTTAACTGCATGTAGAGTTAAAAGTTTCCACTATCAGTCTATCAAAAACAGACTCTTTCATCAAATACTATATAATTTTGTTTGGAAATTTTACAGAGCTTTATAGCCACTTTTGAAACTAAAACTAATCACCTCAACATAAAAAAATTAAAGCCACACTATTTTTTTCAAGAAAAAAAAAAAAGAAAACAGAAATTGTAAAACTTAACACTGAAGAGAAGGAGAAAACCAGACCTTCGACGGTGCCGTATAAGATGCAGCACCACCATCCTGTAACGAACCCTCCAACGTAAAGTATACGTCATCACCGTGCAACTGTAAATCTAACCAAAGCAAAAAAACGTTAATTTTTTTTTCAAATAACTAAAAATGTTAAGTACGTTAATTATTGGACAAAATTCCTTACAATTCGGATTAAGTTTTGAAACGGCAACTGAAGGAGAAGAAGAATTAGAGGATTTGGTAGAGTTGGATCTGAGGAAAAGAGCGACGGTGGCTTTATCGAACAAGAGGGCGCGAGCTCTTAGCTGTAGTTGGATCTGAGCCCTAGACTTTGAGTCGTCAACGCGCATGAACGATTCCCAATCCGAAGGAGAAGAGAGGAAATCTTTGAAAGAGGCGTAGGTTGAATCGCCAAGCCAGGCTCGCCATACGCCGCATGACTCTAGTTGCCGAGCTAAGTCGTAGCCGCGTCCGTCATCGCCGAGAAGAGCCATAATTTTGCGGGGAGGGAAGAGAGCTGGGAGTTTAGGATAATGTTAGGCCAAGTTTGGGCTTATTGGGCCTCATTCAGAGAAATTAATAAAAATGGGTTTTGAAAAAGCCACGCCAGGTAAGGTTCGTTCGTCTGCTTAGGAAACAGAGGCTCTATGCCTCTATCCAGCCATAAGCGCTGGGTAATGAATGCACTGTAATGATCTCCCCTTGGCATGGTGATACTAAGCAAGCAATCATCTGGGCTTAATGATTTTAACTTTACAATTGTATTTTAGAAACCACAGGGAAAGGGAAAAGCCACCTTTACTCTTGGAATTTATTTAAAAGGAAAGAGTCAAGGTGGCAAGCAACCTACATTCTGGAAGGATTGTAGAACATTAAACATAGATTACTTGCAAGAAATTTCAAGAATTTGATCGAATTCCATGTTTCTTTAGATATGTAAATATTGATGGAACAAGTACAGATTCTGTTGTACATTGAAAGTCTTCAGAATGACACTATCCAATAGGGAAAACAAAGTCACCGTCCCATAATTGCTTCTCTTTTTTTTTTTTTAACAGAAAGATATTATAAAAGTAATTGTAGATGTTAAAGATTTGAATTCTCGATCTGTTAAATGTTATTTTTTGAAAATGAATATGTTATTTAATTGAGTTAAACCCAAGATTCGGAATGGATAATTGCTTTCAAGGAGATGTTTTCATCAAATAAGTTTTTGCTTCTTACAAAGCTTTAATTTGTGAACAAGTTGCTAATACTGGCTAGCATGCAGGGATCACTGTGACATCCTGTCAACTTATTTTCTAGAATTCTCACACAAACTTTACTGCCCTTGCAATCATCAAAAATACACTTCCTGTTTAATGGAAGGCTATTCTCCCTTTTTAGTTTCTTTCTTTGTTTCCCTTTTCTTTGTAGTTTATCATTCACCTCTCCTTTGGATTCTTCTAATTGACAAAGAGGTTTTGAATAGGAAAATTTGCACCAAGAAACTTGCCATCTTGAACATGAAGCTCTTCAAGCCCATTTTAATACTTATCAGAAGGTAATTGCTAGAGTCACCTATAAGTCTCTGACCCCCTTATATATTATTCTTTGTTTTGCAAATTTCTAAGTTGCTTCTCCACATACTTGATCAGAAGCCAGTTTTAGCATCAAAGAGATTATTAATTTGTTATGAATTTGGTTTAAGTTGCATGAAGTATGCAAATATAGGTGGTTCAGGTTGCCCAGAAAAATACTCATAATGGAGCCAGTTTTCCACAATCATCAGAAAACCACCGATGGTTGTATTCAACAAGCTCATAACACAAATCTGGGTAGGACATTCACTTTTCTAAGATTTGTTGACCTCAACTGATCAGCATTCTTGCTTCGATGAATTTACTATAGAATTCAATGTCAAGGAACTATCCCTTGACAGTTGGATTGATTCAATTAGCCTCTTAATTCAAAACACTTGCTCCACTTATCCACCAATAAAAGATTTATCAATTGTTTGAAGTTCATGGTCTGTGATGTGTGATATCTTGTGTTTGCTAAATGTCAGTAAACCAATTTTCCTTAAATTTTTGGCTGTTAATAATAGGATTAGACACTGATATTCAGGCCAATCTATAAGTTGGAGCAAACTCGTCCCTCATGCATTTTCACTATTTCAGCTAGCATTCCTTGACTAAACCGCATTGCTATCATCCACTTTCTATTTTTATCCCATCCTTCCAGAGTTGCTGTCCCACCTTGAACTTAAGTACCAAATCCAAAGTCAGAAACTTTAGACAAAGAAATTTGCATTAAAAAATTGCAGTTGGTTCAGTTGATAAAATTTGAATACTTTGTTTTATGATTTAAATTCGAATCCGACTATCAATCAATTTAAAAAAAAAAAAACGATTTATAAATTTAATATAAATTCTTTCTGAAACCTATCATGTAACCTCCCATCGTCTCATACTTTTAATTTTCATAAAACCGAAAATCAAAACTCCCTGTGCTGCATCTTTACAGAAGGAAGGGCCCCTTAATTAAAATAAGTGGTGCATCATCCGGCCCTGATAGTTTCTGCACTTGAGTCAAAACCAAAAGGATGAAGTATCATCTTGATTCTTGGTTTTGGAGTACCTCTCCGTTTGTGTTTCCTTTTGACCTTTTTGTATAGTTTAAAGTTAAAAATCCCTAACTGAAGTGACATTCGGTCATTGGAGAGGTTGGTGGAGTTTGGGGTTTCGAGGATTTGGATTTATGTGAAGATCTTAGAAAAAAATACCCCAAAGTCATGTTAAGGGGGTTTAGTTCACCCACTTAAATATATGACTGTCTCCACTCAACATTTTTAATACCTTTCATCATGCTTTTGATGGTGACTCCCTCAGGTAATGGAAGATGACTCATATGCAATCTCATTTTTACCAATCTGATTTTTTGCCCATCTTCCCTTTCCTTATGTTATTTATGCCAATTCCAATGATATATGTGAAGTGAGATTTGAGCAAAAATCCTAAATTTGAATTAATCCTACATAAACGTGTATAATTAATCATTTATGATAACGCATTTTTTAATTAAAAAGTGATCAACTTTCTCTTCTTAAATTTTTTTATTCACAAATATTTTCCAATTTTATCATTAATAAACCCAAAACAATTTGACCCAAATTTCATGAGGCATTGATTTATGTGTTGTGTTTTACAAGAGGTTTTGAATTAGCATATTCTTGAGTTTAATTTCTAATTAGTAATTAGTTTTGTTATATTAGTTAAGATTAATTTTACAAATAATTTTGAATTATAATAAAATATTTAATATTGTACTTAAATTTTAAACCCATTTAATATAATATTTAAATTATAATTTATTAATTAATATAATATTTATTCATAACGTACAAAAGGCAAAGCTAAAGAACCAAGTAGAAACTATAACCTTCAAAATTATTTTTACTCCATTGTAAAACAATATCCAACTCCATAAAAAATAATATTTGATCTAACCTTTTCTATTAAAATTTTTATTTTTCTTTCCTTTTTTATGGTAACGTGGTCAGCTTCAGAGATAATCTGTGACACATAAATAATTTTTTAAATATTACATTAGAATATAAATTAATAATTTAAATATCACATTAAAATTTTTTAAATTTAAATATTATATTAAATATTTTATTATAATTATTGAAAGATCATTCAGGATAAATATCGTATTCGCTAATTAACTATTGGTTCCAAATTGGGCATGATTGTGATGGATCCTAATGAGAGACAGTAGGCCTCTCACCAGCCCCTCTTACTAATTGCACATGCTTAAACACAACACCCCAATTAGGGTGATCCATCATTGTGCCAATGTCTACACTACTTTCCGATGGATCATCTAAAGCCAACTGCCTGTCGCTTATGGGCAGCTTCTTCATCCAATTGGAAGCATGCCTTTTCTGTTTTGTGGCAAATGGCAATCAAAGAAATGCACTCCAAACCATTCGTTTTTATATCCATAATAATAATAAAGAGAAATGCACCCAAAAGAGAGACCTAAAATGAAAAAAAAAAATTTTGATTGTAGGGTATTTCATGCTGCTGTTGATTTTTCTCATTGCAAGCGCAAATTATTCGGTTAAAATCTTCATATAAAGTAATAAACATTTTTAAAATATGGAAAGGAGGACCATACATGCCGTGTGCTCTGAAATTCGAATTATTCAAAGATACAAAAAAAAATTTATTCAACTATGTTAGGTCGAAATAAAAAAAAATAAAAAGAGAGTATGCATTGCTATTGCCTAATGGTTTATTTTCTCATATGGTATTGCAAGATAATAGTAGTTAATTTATTCGATGTAGATTTTTATTATTTTTATTAAAAATCTTTCAGTATTCGATAATCATTTTGAGTCTCTATTAATTAAGAGTCGAATCGGATCGACTCTCAAAAAAAAATAAATTTTTTGAAATTTATTTTTTATTCATAATACTTAAAATCAAAATTTTATTTTAAAAAAGATTAAATTTTTTATCGTTCAAATCAATCTGCGTTAGTAAAGTATATTTTTATTTTAATTCAAATGCAACGATTGCCAATGAATAAGACATGGCATCTCCCTATCCCAAAAAACTTTATCCATTTCAATTTTGAATTAATGGAGTAATTAAAATAGAAATTAGATATAATTAAACCAAGTTAGGTATCAGGTCCAATACCCCCAATCCTCATTCTAATATATTTAGTAATATAAGAGAAAATCAAGTCTATTTTATTTTTTTATGAGCTATAATATTTGAATATGATTCTAATTTTATTTTTTTTTTTACAATTACAACTTCATCAAATAAAATAAAAACTTTAAGTCTACTACAATCTGCTATAAAAATCTTGACTTGGTAATGGAGAAAAAAGAAACCCAATTTTATTTTTGAGAAGTTTGTTTGTCTTTAAATTAATGGAGAAAGATTAGATGTACATAGTGAATAATTTTATTCTAATATTTAACCTTAATCACTTGAATCAAACCCAATTTGGTAATAATATTAAATTATTATTGTTAGCTTTATTTGCAAAACACAATTTGGGTTTCTTTTAAATGAATTTTATTTATAAATATGTAATCTCCTTAATATAAAAGATTCCAAGCTCCCATCTTTTCCTTTCTGGTTCGCTGTTGCTTTGAAAAATTTTCAAATCTCAAATACTTTTAAAACCCATTTAACAGGTAGACTTTGACCCTAAAAAATTTTTTTCACTTAAAATTATCAGAGTTTGATTTTTTTTTTTGTCATTAAAATTAAATTTTTGATATTTTATTAATAAATTACATGATTAGATACCATTTTAAAAATCTAATTAGCAACAAAAACGTCCCTATTAATATCCCTATCTTGTTTTTATTGTTAACTTTCAATATTTTGCATTAATTAATTAATTAATTAATCTAATTTTTTTTGTAATAAAAAATTAAGGATAGATCGGTTGTTCAATTTTTTATGTTAAGACAAAATATGTTATATCTAACAATTTAAACAGATTACTGAATGTGATATATTCGAAATGACTTTAATAAATGACCACCGACAAAATTCAAATCCAATATCTCTTCATCGAAGAGGATGAATATTAATCAATTAAACTAACCACTTGTTAGTAATTAATCTAATCCTTGATCTTTTCCGCTTGTATGTAATCTCTCCACTAAAATTAAATAAATTATTATTTTTTGAAAAATTTATTAATAAATTAAATAATGTCATTTTTAATAATAAAAATAAAATTCTCTATTTTCACTAAATAAGTGTTATATACTATTAATCAATCAATATAATGACATCTCATTAATAAATAAAATTAAAATTAATCAAAAATTTAAAAATAAATATTAATAAATATATTTAATTTAATTAATTACTAAAAAAATTTATTTTATCTAATAAGGTAAAAGTAATCAGATTCCATCTTATTCATTTGATTTATTACCACATCCATTTTTTTTTCATAGGACCAAATCCATAAATGATTAATACATGCATGCCAATTAAATATATAACATTTTTTTTTTTTGTCATTCAAGAAGAACTGTACCCTACATTAAAAAAAAAAAATTAAGGTTCAAACCACAATCTTAATATTTTTCACAACCTTAATAATTTTTTTAAATCTATCTTAGGTCATAAATCCAGTGAAGACATGTATTGTTATTAGGGAATGGGAACTGAATCAATGAGCACTTTGGGGATGATACAATTCCCTATTATAATACCCAAATTACCCTTTAAGAAGTTTACAAATTACCAACTATTGATCGGTTCGTTAACTTTTCCCTCCTTTACCAAGCTTTAGCTGCGGCAGAAATCTTGAATGCTAAAATCCAACGGTCAGGATTTCATCAGAAAAAATATGCTGCATTAAAACTTGAATAAATGAAATTTGAAGAAATCATGGGGGAAGAAAAGAAAAGTTTGTATAAATATAGGAGAGATTCCAAATCAATATCATCAAGCTGGTTTTGGCTTTGCTTTGATGTTTCTAAGCATAACCAACTTCCAAAGATATACCTTTTTTCTAAAACCTCTCTCTCTGTCTAAAATTCTTTTGGTTACAAACCAATTTTCTCAAAGATTTGGACTGGAAAGCCCCCTCAAAACATGAACATGTAACTTTAGTTGAGTTTTTTTGGGGATTTTGATGCTTGTTGACTATCCAAGTCTTTTCAAGTTCAATGTTGAAGAGGAATTTGAATTGAAAATACCATGTTTTTCCTCTTTTTTTTTGACTCCTTGAAAAGCCTTGGATAATGGGTGTGGAAGGTATTTCAGACAACTTTTTTCATTTTTTTTCTGGTTGTTGTTTTTAGACATTGTTCATGCTTTAGTGAAGTGGGGTTGTTTTGTTTTTGGTTTTTAAATGTAAGGATACGGTTTTGGCTTTCTGTTTCTTGGTGTGTTTGAAGGGAACAAGTTTTTTTTTTTTATTATTGGTTAAATTGTTAAGCTTTTTTTTTTTTTAATGCAGAGACGGGAAGAGAGATGGTAGAAGAGAACCCAGAAAAGGAATCAAAATCCAGGGTGATGAGATGTGAATCATTAAATGATCAGCCATAACCAAGAGGTGTATTGGAGATTCCTGTCCTGGGATCAGACTCCGATACCAGCAGCAGCAATTCTAGCTCCTATTCTCCAAAGAAGCCTGTTTTTAAAAAATGGAACCGAGATTCTTACGGTTTGCAATGGAAGAATATGATTGAAACAATTAAGAAGAAATCAGCAAGAAGGTTCTCTGTCATTCCTTTGCTGACAAGTTACGAGAATTCCAGGAAGAACTTGAGGAGGAAACAGGCAAAACTTCTTAGCTCTGAGGAAGAAGAAGAGGTTGATATTGATTGCATACCCATGGCTAAACCATCATGGAAGAATTTTTCTTACTCAGAACTTGCTTCTGCCACCGATAATTTCAGTCCTGGTAAGCAATTAATTACATTTTAAACTTTTTCCTTTCCTTTTATTTCAATTTCACTCTTCAGGTTTCCATTTTTACTTTTTATAGCGATGTTTCCATTCAGAGTTGAAATTTTTGTATTCCTAGTTTTGGTAGGAGGAAGATGTATCCATAATTCCATAGTGTGATTCTTTTGTATAACCAAATGAAGCCTACAAAGAAATACAACGGCAGCTAGACGGTCAAACTTGCCTCCAATTAAAATCAACTTAAGGGTTTAAAGAGAAGTTATTTTTGGCTAAAATGAAATTTAGATGGGAGTTGAATGAAAATGATGTGGGAAATGGCCAGGTTGACCGCTGCATTTAGCAGCGTAACATCCATGCAAATTTGATGACTTAATGGTTCCCTTGATCACGGGGGCATGAAGTTGACTATTTACTTGAGTTAGCTTTTCGGTATTTTTGGTTACACTGATAAAGTATGATTCTAAATATGCATAACACATTTTGTAGAGAATTTGCTCGGAAAGGGAGGCCATTCAGAAGTATACAAAGGGCACTTATCTGATGGTCAAATTGTAGCAGTGAAGAAGCTAGTGAAGAGTAAGAAGGAAGAAGAGGATAAAGCCAGTGATTTCTTGTCAGAACTTGGGATTATTGCTCACATCAATCACCCAAATGCAGCTCACTTAATCGGATTCAGCATTGATGGAGGCTTGCATTTAGTCCTTCAATTTTCCGCCCACGGCAGCCTTTCTTCTGTGCTTTTTGTGTAAGGTCAACCATTACATATACTTTGGACTAATGAGGAAGTGTTTTACGCTGCAGGTTCATCTGAGTGTCTAGATTGGAAGAGAAGGTTTAAGGTGGCTATTGGGATAGCGGATGGATTGAAATATCTCCATCACGACTGCCAGAGGCGCATTATACACAGAGACATCAAAGCCTCCAACATATTGCTCACCCAAGATTATGAAGCTCAGGTACCTTCATGCACTGAAATGTGTATCTTTCCTCTGTCAATGCTATACTATTTGATTGAATGACACCAAGCTTCTGATTTCTTCTACAATTGCAGATTTCAGATTTTGGTCTGGCGAAGTGGCTTCCAGAAAATTGGCCTCACCATGTTGTCCATCCCATTGAAGGAACGTTCGGGTCAGGCATCCAGCTTTTTTTGCCTTCTTCAGTTGATTTGTTATCAGCATTGTTCATTTTATAAAGTCAACAAAATTGGGGCTAAAATTTCCTGCAGGTATTTAGCACCAGTGTATTTTATGCATGGGATTGTTGATGAAAAGACTGATGTATTTGCATTTGGACTTCTATTACTGGAGATATTAACAGGTCGTCGCGCAGTCGATTCATCCTGACAAAGTCTTGTGATATAGGTACACCATCTGCTCCAAAGTCATCAAATTAGGAAAAACATTTCAACATTTTATATACTCCAGAAAGATGTGAACTTATTTTCTGTTTTTTATACAGGCAAAACCACTTCTGGAATCAAATAAAGTAAAGGAATTGGTAGATCCTCGACTAGAAGACAACTATGATCCAATTGAAATGAAACGTGCTATGTTAACAGCCTCCATGTGCATTAGCCACTTAGCCACCATTCGTCCAAGCATGACAAGGGCATGAAACAATTTTGAAAGCATCCCATTTTTCCCTTGTCTAACCCTTTCAGTACCCCAAATTCATGTCCGAAACCGCAAATTCTTTGAGATTTTCAGGTTTTACAGTTGCTTAAGAATGGAGATGGTCCTGTAGAGTGTCAGCAGAAGTCTTGTGAAGGGAAAGCAGTAACTGTAGACGGTTGTGACTCGAAAGATTATACTCGTGCCAGCTACCTAAATGACTTAAATCGTCATATGCAGCTGGTTATGGAGAATTAATGCTTGGTGTTGCTGCTGATGTTGCTTCTGGTTCCACTTTTTGTTTATTGTTTGTGTGGAAATGGGAACAACAGAGTAATCCAAGACGTGAATTGATGGTCTTTTCTTCAGGTTTTCAGCTTCCTATTATTTCCTTTTCCAAAGAGTGGTTGCCAACGCCATACACCTGTGGAGAAAATTGGGAAATCGGCATCAATGTTAACAGCCATTGATCTGAAGAAACTTAAGGAAATCAGAAATCAGATGCCATCGGGTCAATATTCTACTGAAATTTACATTTGCAAACAAAACCCTTTGTTAAAAAAAGTTTGCTTTTTCATAGAACTCATGTAAATAAGTAAATGTTTATTAATTAATATCTTTAAAAAATTACTATTGATTAAGATTTATTTAGACAGGTAATGAGATTAATTTTGGTAATATTGAAAATAATGATAAAATTAATTATTATCATAATAATAAAATTAAAATTAATGATGAGATATATTTAAATATAAGAATAATAGTGTCATAATTAAAAAATATTTTATATTTTAATTTTAATTAAAACAATGGATGACTTTAAACAGAGCAATCAACTGCTGTATAATCTAGTAATTTATTAGAGGTTTCTCCATTAACTCTCTAACTGATACTATTCAACTGTATCTCACGATCCAATTGACCAAAAAAAATCTTGAATTTTAAACGAATCCAAAATAAAATTTTAATTAGGGGCGTAATGGAATTAAATTAATACAATGAAAAATTCAAATTCGATTCAAAGTTTATTAGTTGAAATTTAGTTCAAGTTCGATCAAATTTTAATTTTTAAAAGAAAAAAATCAAGTTATTAGATTTTATTCGATTAAATTTGTTTAATAAAAATAAACCCAATTTCATACATGATTTCAAACTTAATTATATATTTGAACTCAAGTTTAAATTTGAATTGATATATAAAGATAAAATAATATTTTTTAATTAAAATAATAAAAATATATTAAAATTTATAATTTAATTAAATTCGTGAGTTACTCGAATCAATATTAAAATATTGATTATATCGAACTATTTAAATTCAAACTCAATTCGATAATAATAAAATTAATTTTTAATTTTATTTAAATTAAATTCAAATAATTTATAAAAATTAATGTATTATTTACATCAATCTTAGTGATCCATTTCCTTTTAGCTTACCTTCCTTAAGTTTAAATAATGAGGGCCATTTTCCTTTAGAAAAAGGGCATACCTTACCGCTCCATTTTAGTTTGGACCTTTTAGGCCCAAACAGTGAAGAGTAAAAAAGAACCCACATTCTCATCAGAGCTAACTAAACAAGGGGGGAAGAGAGGTTCGTTAATGGAGATTTTTCTGCAGGCAGCAATTTTGTTATTGACACTCGCCATTCTCTTCGCAATTCGATATGTTCCCAAACAAACCGGAACCAAGCATCGAACCGACCATCGGGGTGCGACCCAGACCCAACGCCATCTCACACGAGCTACCTACTTGCTTTCTCGAGCCAAATCCAACCCTCACGAAGACCAATCCCAAACCCTAGCCAAAACCGCCATGACCGAAATCGAAAAGGCCCTTTCTCTTTCCCCAAAAGACCCAACTCCTCACCTTCTCAAATCCCTAGCTCTCGATTTATTGGACCACAAGGGATCCGCACTCAGATCGCTCGATTTGGCGTTGGCTTCGCCGCGCGTGAAGTCACTCTCGGAGAGGGAGCGCGTGGAGGCAATGGTGAGGAGGGCAGAGTTGAAGTTGGCGGTCAATAAAAGAAGGCGAGTTGATTCAGCGGTTAGGGATTTGGAGGAGGCTGTTAGGATGAGTGATCAACAGGGCGCGATCATAACCAAGGCGTTTTGTTTGTTGGGCGAGTGTTATGAGTTTAAAGGAATGAAGGAAGAAGCCAGGAACGCTTTGCAGGAGGCGCTTAAGCTGGAGCCCGGGTCAAGCGTGGCTCATCAGGGCTTGGGGCGCCTGAGTTTGTCATGACTCATTTTTTTTCTTTCTTCCTATTTTTTCCCGAATGATGTAAAAATATTTGTGTTGCGTATGTAAATTTTCTTTTCTCAAGAAAATGGGATGGATTGCCCGTTTCAGCAGGTCTCATCTTAACAATTGAAGATAGTTTACAAATTCCAGCATCCTAATATTCAAAAATATAACCTTTAGCCTTCAAAACAAAAAACCTCCTGCCTTAATCCTACTCCTGCCAAGGAAAGACGGTAGATCAGGTTGTGATGGTCAGATTATGGGGTTCAGCTGGGAGCATGGCGCCTCTTGCTACTACTGTTAAGCTGAATTGCAAACTATTCCTTGTTCTTAAAGCTGCTTTGGTCATTTTAGTAAGACTGGTGAGGCCATAACAAAAACTTAGCTGCTGGCTGCGACATTACAGTCATTGGGATTGCCATCGTTAAGGAAGAACCAGGGGGGTCAGAGATGCCGATGTTGGTAGTCTGAAGGTAATGGTAGAGATTCTGTTGATAAAATGCAGCCGCACCAGCTGTGTCGAAAGGGATTCCCCAAGGAATAGCAGATATTGGCTGCAATGGGGCAAAACTTATGTTGTTGCTATTGGAGCTGTGGTGGGGTTGTTGCTCATAGTTTACAATTGGCTTTTGCTCCGATTCAAGTGAAAGCTTTAGACGCTTAGCTGCCCCACCGATAGGAAGAGAACTCTTGGCAATGGCTTCAACATCATACCGGTTCATCTCAAAGTTAGTAACTGCATTCACACCCCTAAACTTGATGGCTGCGATATCATACGCCTCTGCTGCCTCCTCTTCAGTAGCTGTCACCATACAGAATATGATTATTATCACTTCACAACAATTACAATAACTTAAAGAGTAGCATATGAAAATTGTCAAGTGGGTGAGTTTGTTCACAGCACTCATTATTGCAGCCTCACCAAAAGTCCCAAGGTAAAGGTCCTTGTTTCCGGCAACACGGCCTATCCTTGCTTGCCATCGGCCCTGTTGATGATGCCTGTAAAATTTGTCATAAACTCATGGCTTCAGTCATTTGCCAGAGAATTATATGTCACATAATTGAACATATCATAAAAATATATATTTCAGACAGTGAATGATTCAACATTCTGTACAAATTGCTCTAATTACCTTGTGACGCCTCTGTAAATTGATGCTCCCCTTGAAAATCCACTACTCTTCCTATTACATTTCAATTGCGGCGACCAAAAGATTAACCTACAGCAATTAAAAAAAAAAAGCAAGCCAATTAAGCTTACAAGTTAAGCTTACCTCCTTAAGGATGCAATAAACTCTTGCTTGGTTACATGTTTCATCTCCTCCAACTCTTTTGAATAATCTGAAATCTAAACCAAGCAAAACATCAATCAGTTAATAATTTCATGCTCTAGCTGGTGCATGTCGAATGTCAAGCAGTATCAAGAGGATCATCAAATTGATTTTTTTTTTACAAAATTCATAATTTAAAGATAAAAAAAAAGATTACAAACGTTAAAATTTAAACTTCAATGTTATACCTTAAAAATGATTACGTGATCAAATTTAATTAAATCTTGAATTATAAATTGATTAGTTTTAAAGTACAAGATGTGTGCAAATATAATACCGGGAAGTTGGTGGTAGCCGTGGGACCCCAGTATTTTAGAGCTGCCAAATCGTAAGCCCTAGCTGCCTTTTCTTCCTTGTCATAGCCACCTGACAAAAATTACAAGATATAAATTTTAGGTATACAAACTTATTTGCAAAATTAAACTTAACACAACAAAACAACAAAGCTTTAGGAGTTTCTTACCCAAGTACACTGTAGAAACAAGATTCCAAAATTGAATTGACAGCCAGACATCCACGATCCCACAGTGCATGCAAAAAGTACAGCAAAAATTTCCAATATTAGGTAACATATTGGTCAAGATTTTCAGCTCGGAATCATTTCTATATGCAATGCAACGCCAAAATATTACAGGATTCGCTCATGTGCTTTTTGTTGGTATGTGGGTTGGTTGAGACAAAACAATTGTTTTTGTTCTTAATCCTTCCTTTGAATTGACAACCAATAAAAACGTGATGATTAAATTATGACAAAGGATAAAAAAAATTCTTAAATAAAAATTTAATAATTATTTAAAATCTTAATATTTTATTTCAAATTAGTTAAATTTTTAAATATTTATTTGAATCTATAAATATTTTATTTTTATTTAATTAAACCTTAAATTAAACGAAATTAATTAAACATTTTTCCTTTAACAATGACAATTGGCAAAATAAATGCATAAAAATTCAATTTATTTAAAAAAATAAAAACTTAAATAATTAGTAAATTTCAGTTCAAGAATTTTTTTTTTTTACTTTTTTACCTAAAATTATATGTATATATTCTTTAATCTTGCACCGCACTATCAAGTGGCCCCTAATTGAACTCTAAATCTAAAACAATCCACAATGTACTTTTATTATTGACAATAAATTTAATAATTTTAAACATAATATAGTAAAATGAAAAAAAAAAAAAAAAAACTCAAAAACTAACATACTCAAAATTATAATAAAAATTATAAATAAATTTGCTAAAAATAAAAAGTATATAATTTGCATTTAACTTATGGATATAAATTATTATGTGATAATTTTTATATTTTATTTATTAAATATAATAAATAAACATAAATACATAAATTACATATGTAATCAAAGGTAAATTTTAAGAAATTTTCACCAACTTTCAAAGTAAAATATAATTCTCACTACTTCAAAAAGATGATTTAAATTTAAGAAAACATTTACCATTAAAGGTACAGATTAAAGTGGCTACATTGTAGCTCGATTGTGAATCAGAACACACAGCCCACGTTACCAAACGTCACGAGAAACGCGGTCAACAAGTTCGGGCAACAATAGTCGAAGTCCCACACATGCTTTTATCTGGAAATCTTTTTTTAAACCAAAAAAAATAGAATGGGTGCTTTGGTCAAACCTAGACCCCCTCTCACAGACTCTGCGGTGGGCTGTCTGTCTGGCTCCGATAGCAAAAGCAAACTCAGTGAAAATCAGACTGTTTCAGAGTTCAGACCTTCATTCAAGTGTTAATAAGGTCTGAACCAGTGGTGGGTGTGGGTCGTGTCAAACAAACTCTCCGTAGCAGAGTAAAACAAGGCGCCTGGTGAGAGACAGATTAAAGCAAAATGGCGGCACTTCTGATCAAAATATAAAGGGTTTTGCTTTTGCAGCTAATTGAAGTACCATTCGTACATTATATATAACATCAGTCTTTCACTCATAAAAGACTGATGACAAATGCCCACTGATCCCCCTATTAATGGCCCCTTTGAATGCATGCAAGCTTCTTTTCAGTATCACAGGTATATTTTACTTTGTTTTCACATTTTATTTTTAGTATATTGTTGTCTTGGTTTAGAATAATGTGAGAAAGAGAAATGGGGAAGAAAAGAATAAACGACCTTGACGCCCTTTTCTGGCTTCACCCTCCCTCCTGCAGCTGTTATCCCATAGATGAGCTTCATATCTACCCGTCCATCTGTGTCTGCATAAGAAGCCCACAAAAACAAATAATCAGAACCAAAACCAATACAAATTAATAGTAGTTTACAGAAATTTACTTTAATTAACTAAATAATCCAAAAAATAAAAAAAGCTTGAAAAATGAAAGAAAAAAAATGGAAAAGATGATGGATTGATGGGATGTTTAACCTGGTGACACCTCTGTAAATTGAAGTTCGCTGACTGAAAGTATCAGCAATCTTCTTTGAGCAATCTGAGTCAACCGAAACACTGGCTTTATTATTATTATTGTTGTTTTTGTCGTTGTTTTCGCAACTTTGATTAACCCCGAGTGACAAGGTACCGGCGGTTGGATAATTGGAGAAACCCAACTTGGTGCCAGATGACTCAATCGAGTGACCAGGAAACTCAACACCAGTCAACTGAGTTCGACCAATTGAGGCCGAGTCATCAACTTCTGATCCCGAGTTTGTCGAAAAAGCTTGAAACCCCATAATTGCCTTGAAATCTTGGTGCTCATTGAAGTAAGCAGAGCTGCTGTGATAATAGATTTGGGTTAAAGATGAGTCTTGGGTTTCGGTTTGGCTATCAGAATATCGACTAATGGATGAGGAATCGCCAAGGAAGTCTTCAAGCTTTGGTGCTTGTTGATGGAAGGTTGTGAGAAAGGGAGATTCATCAGCCATGTCTGCGGGTTGAGCTTCATTGCTTTGGTTCTCCTCTCCTTCTGTAAAAAACACTTAATGTTTTGGATTTGTCCAGCCTTCTAAAGAAATAAAAAACAACATGCATCTAAACGAGTCAATTCAGAACTTCTTGCTTCTTTCCAATCCATAACTTTTCCTCAGCTATCAAACATAAACAGAAAGAAATTTCTGATGGTTTTATATATATATATATATATATATATATAACAGTGAGCTTTTGAAGTAGGTTTATTTTAAGTAACCAGCTGGAAAATGAGCTCAAACTTGAAACTATACCATATTTTGTAAACTTATTTCATTTTAACTGCCTAAAAAAAAGATAGGATTACAAAGCATCCTTGAGTTCTGTCGTATTTTCTTGGCAACCAAACACAAGTTATGAAAAGAACAAGAAGAAAAAGGAAAAGAGAACGAAGAAAAAGGTTTACCATTAGCATAGAAGTTATCGATCAGGTAATAAGGAGAAGCAGCAGCAGAAGATCCTTCATATGACACAAACTGAGGCTCGGATGATGACCTCAACATCTCCATTGGAGATAGTGAAAATGAGAGCCAGTATGCTGCCGGTGAACTTAAGATATATATATATATATATATGTGGTATAAGTCTATATAACCTTCAAAAACTTTTTCTTTCTCTAAAATGACATTAAAACCCAAACTATTTCTTCCGGAAACAAACAAAAATGAGCTCAGAAACTTTCTAATCACCTAACATACCAAAAAACAAACTGATGATATATTTTTACCTTAACCGTTACTTAAAACTGCCCCATTCAGAAAAACAACTACGATAATCACGAAGCTTAGAAAAAAAATTTGAAAATCTTTTTATAAGCTTTAAAAAATCAGGTTAAATGCATGCAAACTCATCTGAGATTTCTTTCAAGAAAAAAAAAAAAAACACTGTTGGATATTGTTTTGCACTTTTGATTCAGAGAGAAGGGAAAGGGAAAAAAAAGGAAGAGTTGATGTTGGGGTTTTAGAGGCACACAGAGATAGATAGAGAGAGATTGAGCGGTAACAGCTGCCAACCGGCGTAAACTGGAGCGTCCACTGTCAAATAGAGAATGAGTTTTTCAAATCTTT